CTTCTTTCCAAATTACAATTTTGAATAAAACTTTACGTTATTTATAAATTTGAACCATAAAATTCCAAACAAACTGTTTTAGAGGCTCTTTTAGCCGTCTGGGACTGCCGTGCTGTTCAGCGTTGCGGTCCCACAGTGTCCGTCCGAATTCCATTATTCCCGAGAACAACAACCCCGTTTCTCTAACAGATGCTTCCACAGGCAGTGCCGTGGCCGGGGACAAAAAGGCTCTGCGGCGTAAGCAGTTCCAAATCGTTTAATCTGGATTAATCTCGCCCTGCGTTTGCCCACGGACCCGCCCTCGTGGGGGGCGACGGGCGGCACCCCGGGGCTCCAGATGCCCAATTAGCCCCGGCCCGGCGCGGGCTCGGCCTCTCCTTGGGGTAGATCCATTTATCTTCCCCGCTCCCGGGCGGGGGGGCCGGGGGGCCTCGTTCGCCTGTTGTCAGCGGGCATTGATCGGCCCTTCCCGGCTGGTGCCGGGGTGAGGGCAGGTCCCCCCGGAGCCCTTTGGGGGGAAGCTCTATTGAGTCGTGATCCGAGCGACTGCTCATTGAGGAAAACGGGTATTGGCGTCCCCATCAGCAGAGACACCCTGGGTAAGCTTAAACAAGTCCACTCTGTTAATGTCAGGCCACGGGGGACACGCTCAGCCCCTCCGCTGACCATTAGACCCCTTGATGGAGTGGACAATAAACTTGACAGGACAGGCTGGACACTGCTGTGGAGCGTGTCTGTGCTGACGGCACGCCAGGGGCTGTCCTCCACAGCCTGCCCATGGTCCATCCACACCCTGCCCATGCTCTGCTCACGGTCCATCCACACCCTGCCCACGGTCCACCCTCCACAGCCCTCCACGTCCTGCCCGAGCTCTGCCTGGGCCCAGGTGGGCACTGCCCGTACCTGTGGCAGGTAAATTGGACGCCACAGCCACCTCAGCCACCACCAGAGGAGAAGTACCCTGGGGAACGTTCCCTAAAAACACTGAAGCCAACACGCCAAACCCCAGGTGGGGAAGGGAAATTCGGCACGTTTCGGGTTTTTGAGTGAATTTTTTCCCTCCAGTTTCTACTGACCGGATATTTTGGAACCTGTTTTTTAACCGACTTCTACGAGGAAAAAAACTATTCTGCCACTAGGAAGAAGGGAATGTATGCAATTAACTGCACTTTGGTTACACCACCTCAAAGGCAGACTAAGAGCGGGTTATTTCATGCCATGTTCTTGGAAAAGAAAATAATCAAAATGGGAAAATAACAAAATCCACCACCCTTCTCCATCCAGAGAACAATTCTTGGGGGGAAAAAATCAAGTTTCGAAGTATTGATTCTTCATTCATCAATCAAAACCAAAAAAATTAATAGGAAATTCAACCTTAGCTCTTTTCAGATAAAGTATTAATAATTGCATTTATATTATTTAAAGAAATTATATTTAATTTTTTTTACATGTGAGCGTATTAGTATTTACTTTCTTAAGTTTCTGCCAGTAAAAAGGGCCTTGGGTTTGACAGAGCAAATTTTCCAGCATTTGGAAGCTTTTATCCCAATTTTAACACCTTATCTCTTTTCCTCCAGAGAATTAAATGATATTGCATTAAAACAGAAAACGATATAGAATTTTAAACAGTCCGCAGAAGTGGGGAACTGACAGGTCATTAAACAGCTCGACTGGAAAGAAACTTCCCCCTAAAAATTTAGGGGTTTACATATAATATAGCAGCATATGTATCTATATATTTACACATGCACGTATATATTAACATATACATATGTGCTCACATATGCAGCAATTTTTCAATAGCTAAATAATTTGTCTGAAATTAATTTAAATAAAACCTACCTCTTAATATTAAGTACTTTATCAATAAAAAACATTAAGTCTGGAGATTTCTTTTAACCTAACAGTCAACAAAAAGCAACACAGCTAAAGAAAATATAAGTATAATCCAGATTACTCCGATCTGATTTGTATTTTCAGTTAAACCTTAATAGCTTTTAACAAAAGAAACATCCTTTTTGGCACTAATGCATTGTCTAAGCTGCAGAACATGCTCAAATTTCAAGATACTTTTTAAAAGCCATTGAAAAAGCCACAACAATGACATGTTTCTGACTCAGTTCATGTTGTATTCAGATGAATCCAACAACAAGAGGGTTTTTTCCTGCCCCCCAGGTGACAGCACTTGCTCAGTGAGTTGAAATATTTTATTATTTTATATATATAAAATAATAATTTTTCATTGTGATTAAAACAATACATAAAAATTAAAAGAATGCCAACTCTTGTTATTCCGTGTAGGACCTGTTACTTTAAGATTCTACAAACAGTCCGGAATTCTCCGGGAGTGCATGATCCCAGGGCACAAGGACACGCGGGCTCTAGATAAGGAATAATTTAGTTTATCAGAAGGTGAAAAGAAAAAGCAGAGTCAGAAAAAAAAAGCCCTATTTGTGCAGAAAGCCTTCTCCAACAATTAACTGTGAGGGCTCTTGTTTATCCCACTGGAAGGCCGCGGTTTTCCCTGGGCCTGCGGATGCAGATCCCGGTGTCAAAGGGGAGCCGGCACCGCTGCCCGGAGCCTCACCCACGGCTCCTCTTTGTGCTCCGCTCCCCTCACATCTTCCCTCCCGCATTTCCATTTCAAGCAGCTGCACAGGCAGCGCTGCACGATCAATTTCCACATCGAATATTTAGGAATACAACCAATGTATATTTTATATAAATATTTTCGTTTATTAGGAGCAGAACAGGCCTTTCAAAATGAGGGACACAGAAGCCTTCCCCCTTGGATCCCCTAAGCTTTTGTGGAAATTCCCGATTCTGCATCATTCCCACAGCTCACTGCCTCCTTCATGAAGCAGCTCTTGCCCTGCCAGTGATCCGTGGGCACCTAGAGGTGCCCCAGTGCCCAAAACGTGCCTTTGTGCTCAGGTACCACCCGTGCAGGGCCCTCTCTGTCCCCCCGGTCCAACCCTGCTGATGGTGCCCAGGCAGAGCCCCACAAGGGCAGGGAGCACCTCAGCCATGGAGAGAGCTGGAAAACTGGCAGGAAAAAGTCTGAACCCAGCACCCATTGCCAACCATGAGATCTATGGAAGAATTCTGTGTAATTAGGAAAATGTCAGGGGCTGAACCGTTCCCTCTGTGGGCACACGGGGACTGCGGTGACGCTGAAGCCTTTGGAAAAGCGAGTGTGCTCCCACTGCCTGCCTGGCACGCGGCACAGCAGGGCCCCGGGTCCAGAGCAGAGCCCAGACCTGCTGTACAGCACAAACTGCAATATTTACACACTTCCAGAGCTTGGCCTCAGAAGGTCTGGAATGCCACCGAGCCAAAAGCCAGTGTTGTGTGGGCACAACCACCTGCCCTGCAGGGTCTCTGTCACACCTGCCACAGCGTGGCAGCGTGAGGAACAGAAAACTCCCAGACTTAACTGAACTTTCACTTCTGAATTGACACAGCAATTATAATTATATTCCAACAATCACTGAGGTCTCCCTGTGACAGCCAGTTTATGTATTATAAAACATCTACAACCTTGGGAAAGGAAAAAAGCAGAACTAAAAAAAAAAAATCTCCAACCACTTTACTTAGAAGCAGTACAAAGGAAAAATGGTTTTAAATACAAATAAAACCCTAAATGTTGCATCCACACAAGCTCTGTTTTCATGTCCACCTGACTATGGTGCCATTCCCAGCACAGCACAGCTCAGCCTGTGGATCCCTCTTCTGCCAGTTCTCTCTGTGCACCAGCCCCACACCTGTGTTACCTGTGTGCTGCACCTGGGGTGCATCTCACCAGGATTCTCTACTGAAATGCGAGTCTCTACGTTGCTCATGCCTCAAAGGATTCTTTCTTCCCCCTTTCTTATCTTTTCATGTGGTGTCTAAAGTCATATGTGACCACTCCATTGTTTTTAATTGCAAATTTTCTTAAACACCCTAAACCTGCTTGTTCCTTTTCCATTTTATCTTTTGCAAATCACCTGCGTGTTCCTCTTTGCCAGACACTTCCGTGCTAACCAGCAAGGTCACTGCAGACCCTGTATTGATTTTCCTCCTAAATATCCGACCGTACAAATACAGATTTTACCAAGGGTTCAGAAGTCGTCCCCGAGAGCGAATGTAAACACAAACCGATACAGCTGCAGAAGCCTCCGGAACATGGAGTCAGAGATGGACTCGTGCAGGTTCCCTGGAACAGAGAGGGCTGGTTAACCCTTCTCTGGCTCATTGGGAACCACGGCTGGGACCCAGCACTGGGGCAGAGTGGGAGCACGGCCCCGGCACCACAGCCACATTTATCCCTCAGGTGTGTGCAAATACAGAATATTTTGCTTGACTGATTGATTTCAACATTCAAACACACTTTGCGCTGTTTCAACCCACAGAGATTCGCTGTCCTTACTTTGAAGTGTATCACATGTAAATTTTCCAAACTTAGCAACCCAAACTGGAATCTTTTGGCAACCACAATAAATGTCTGCAATCACCCCCCATTGCTGGGGAGCCCGTGGGGCTCAGCCTGGCTGATCCCGCTTCTGTTCCCCACAGAGTTTAAACCAGGCCTGGCACTCACCAGGAGAATGCCCAGCTCAGTCAAGGATTTAATACTGTTAATTTCTTGTATTTTTTATTGTTTTTCCCCAGAATGACCGAATCCTTCTTTTTGCAGCTAAGTAAGAACCACCTCTTCCCAACAGAAATTTTCAGGTAAAAACAGATTTTCCTTTTTCTTAGTTTGGTCACCTCTAGGTACTGAAACATTTAAATCAGGATTACTAGAAAAAACCCAAACATCAAGCGTGGATGGCAAGAAAAAGGGATTTTTCTTGGGACTGTGCCTCAGACACACATTTGTAAGAAACCAACTTTGCATTGTTGTACCAGATGCAGTCCCAGTGAAAAACGTATGCAGGCAACAGGGAGTTAAGTAAATAATTTTTTTCTTTTCTTTGTCGATGTGTTTAGTTCTCTTCCTGCCAAGACTCATTTCACTCTGCTATCTTGTGAGAGACACATATGGTGCAGTGAAATTGCCATCCAAGAAAGCATGTCCCAGCCTGTTGAGACATCATCAAATAAGATTAAAGCAAAGTAAAAATAAAAAGATAGAACGATTTTTTTTCTTTTTCTTGTACAGGGAACATCTGATGAAAGTCACTGAGGTACTTGAATGCTTCTAAAGGTTTTGCAACCATTTCTTTACTTTGCCTGGTTAAGAAAAAGGCAGAAATAACAAGCCACTATCTCCTTTTTCTTCTTCAAGTTAGTGAAAAAATGTGTTTCATAATCAACCTGATGTATGTGAATGAAATACAATAATGCCTTCTCTGCTTCTGAGAAAACAACACTTAAATGCACAGAAATACCCCAGACTCTGCACTGGTGGTCTCTCCATCAGCATCTCTGAGTTCTACATGCAAAAAAGGGGCCAGGACAAAATCATCAGGCTACTAATGCACCAGTCAGGAGCTGGGCTTCATAATCCTTGGGGGTCCCTTCCAACTCAGGATATTCTGTATTCTATGATTCCAGTCCACAGAAAGGTCCAAGTTACCTCCCAACCAGTGTATTCAAGTGTCTCTGGCTACCAACTGCTACGTTAAATTAAAATTCATCACCTGACAAATCCAGAAGTCCGAGTTGCAGGATTTAAATACATGTGGAATTGCTGCCTGTTTTCCTTACACAGGAAAAGGCCTCAGGACACTGAGTAAGGTGAAGATGACTTTACAGGTTCTTTCCCTACGAGGTCCTTTCAGTTTCCACACTAAACAAAAAGGACTGGGCACAGAAATCCCAGCACATCACCACTTGCTCTTTCCCGTGGTCCTTAAGGACGAGCTGAAGGACCAGGGCAGAACTGTTGTAGCAACAGGAATCACTGAGAAGCAACTTGGCAGCTCCTCACCACCACTTTGAAATCAGGCTCTAGAAATATTCCACCTCCCGCCAGGAAAGCACCGGCAAACACAACACATACGGTGTGTTCTGTAGTCTAAGTAAATAAACAGGAGTCTGCTCAAGGCCAAAAAGAAATCCCAGTGGGCAGGAGGAAGCCCAAATCAAATTCGCATTTTTGATCATCAGAGAAGTTCAGGGGGAGCTTCTTAACCCCACAGAATAATCTGCAAAATGGGTCCAGTTTGAGAAAAAAAGAACATATTTTGGGCATTTCTCTGCCAGCCTCCCCAGTTAGAGCTGCATGTCCAGGTCTTGTTTCCAATGCTGCCACTGGACTGCAGGAAAGCAACAATGCATCAGTAGCAGAGATTATCCCCGGCCTTAATAAGCTGTTGTTGGCTTTCATAACAACTGCAGCCTAGGCCGAGTCACACCGAGCTCAAAGACAATCTTACCAATAGCCTAGAGCAAGGATTATAGAAACAAGAATCCAAGGGGGGGTGGGAGGGAGCAAAAATCCCAAGAAACAGGGGCTAATGTAAAATCGTTTACATATTAACCTTCTTCCCTTCTGACAGTGGTCAAGTTCTGATTCAAAATACAAATTATCTCCAATTACTTCAAAAGAGGCAGTCACAGAGCTGTCACTTAACCTTCACCATCTGTTTGGCTCAAAAGCAAGCTGTACAGCCTGCCACTTTGACCTCATCTTTCTCTTTCCACACTGGACAGGCACCAAAAGAAGAGAAGATGGTTTATTGTTCTCCCGAGAAAACTCCAGCCCGTGGGGAGCAGGGCTCAGGGTGCCGGAGGGGAGGGGAGGGCAGGCTCTGGAGGTGACTTCATTTAACTCTTCACGGGGATTTCTTTGGGGAGGATGAGTTTGCAAACCTTCCTCACTCCTGCCAGCCCGCCCCAGAGATGGGGTTTGTTTAAAGTGGAGCCTCTCTGCAAAGAGAGCTGTGAAACAACAGGGTGGGGGAAAGTCAGGCGCTGATTCACAGCGGATTCTGGCTGAGGCAGTTCTGTGAATCCAGTAGCCAGATGTATGCAGAAAAACATCAGCTATTTAAGACGTCAAAGGGAAAATAAATCCTGGAAATGAAACAGCTTTCTAGCAAAGACAGTAACACAAAATGTTTGGGGAAAAAAAACCCAAACCCCAAAAAACCCCAAACAAACCAACAGGAACCCCAAAGAGCAGAACACAAAAAGGTCTGGGAAAGCACAGCTTAAAAGTCATAAATATGACCTCACTGTAAGATAAATCAGAGTTACCACTACTTTCAGCTGCACAGATCTGACCAAGGCTTCTCCCAAGCTGCTCATTAACCATTGCATATTCCAGCCCCTCTCCTGGCTCCGGGGGAAGGCAGGAGCTGAGCTCAAACTCACCCTCGAGCAGTGGCAGCGTGAAGGACCCAGGACAAATCCCCCCCTGTGGGGTGTCAGCAGCTCGGGGCGCAGAAGCACAACCCACAGTGCAGAGGTGTTGGGAATAAAACAAATCTGTTGGAGAAAAGAGATTCCAGAGGGGCTGGAGGGCACAGTAATAGGGTGCAAATTTCTGAATGCCTCATGGTTTATGGGCAGCTTCTAATGCTTCTGCCGAGAAACATTACAGCATTTCCACTGGCTCTGATCTTTATTTTTAGTTTTATTACCCACTGCATAGCAGGTTTCTTCAAGAGAGAAAGAAAGAAAGCAGATCCCTCTGTAAACAGGAGCAACTCCTGAACGTTTCACATCACAGTGGTTTAGCATGAGGATAATTCCACACGTGAAAGCAGCTCAGAGAACAAACGTCTCTGTAGCTGTGCAGCTGCATGACCCTCCTGGCATCATTCAGCATGGGGAGGGAAGCCCCTTTTCTTGTCACACAGTATTTAACCCAAGAAACACACGCCACAATGCACATGAGCTGCAAAGTTCCTGTTTCCAGAGCAGATGGTAACAAGTCAATTAAACACGCAGCACTCGGGCACCGCTAATAGCAGCGAGAAGCTCTGAGCATTCCCGTCGGTGGGGGAAAGGAAAGGGCTGCAAAAGGTGCCGAACCAAATAATGATCTCAAGCAAACAGCTCTGACTTCCTAGAATCCAAATTCCTTTGCTACCTTTTTATGAAGGCAAACAGAATATTGAACTCGATTTGCAGTTCAGAGGGGGCAGGAACATCCCCGTGCTCCTGTGCTGGAACCGCCTGACACCCGCCATAGCCACGCTGAAATGTTTAATTTTACTTAAAACATTCTCTCAGGCCTATGTATTATTTGAAGTATAATGTACAGAATTATCTAATGAATTCTCAAATCAAATACTCTCATTTTGCTGCAGGCCATTTCCCGAGAACAAACTAGAGGCACACAGGCTGCTCTGTGTGCCTGGCTGTTGAATTTAAACAGATGTCCAGTGGACATCAGCCTCGCTCAGATTACCTCTCCCATTCACTCCTCTCTATCTCTGGCCACTGCAAACCCCCTTAAATTAAAAACAAACAGAGAATCAAGATAACAAAAAAATACAGCAAGACTTGCAGGCCCAGAAAGGCCCGTGGTGGATCGTGGCCGTGCCCTTGCTGTGCTGAGGGCCGGGTGACACTGAGAGAGTCGCCGGGGAGCAGCATCTGGCTCTGATTAGGTAACAAGCTGTAGCATCTGCAAACTTGTCACTCCTCGGCCCACAACAAAGCCCAGCCAGCAGATCTGTGTTTAAAAAGGGAACTGGCTGTTGGGTTTTATAAGACAAACATTATCTGTTCCCGTTGCAGGGTGCCGTTTTATTAAACGCTGGCTAGAAGAGGAGAAATTAAATGTGCTTGTTACATTTTACTTTTCATCTCAAGGAAAAAAACCATTTGGTTTTGTCTGTCAGAAACCTTTTTACTTGTCTTTCCCCCGTGGAAGGGCTGAGATACCAGCAGAGCTTTCACAGCCTGCAGTGAGCAGCCGCTGTGACCCTGGGGTGCTCCTACAGCATTTCAGTTTTCTCTAAACAAGAAAAATAAAATAAAGTGTAACTTCCATGCAGCATATCCAGGAGTGGTGAGGACTGACTCCCCCAACAGCTGAATTAAAATTCACTCATCTCTGTGTTTTTACTTAGACACTTCAGCAGTGTATTTGACTACGAAAGCTTCTATATTTCGACTTTATTTTCTTCCACTTTTTTCTTGGTATGTTGGAGTCGGCCTTTTTCTCTGCTTCTGCCTCACTGAATGACAGCTACAGTCCTCAGCGCCTCTTCTGTACCCTGAAATGTATTTATACTTCTCTTTTGAAAAATGAAAAGAGAATACTCTGTGCCCCATATAAGACCGAAGTTCAACATAACTGAGGAAGAACTGAGGAATATTAAACCTGAAAAGTCAAATTTCTGTCCAACCTCACAGTTATTTTTGAACATCTAAGGGAAACCACCTATGAGCACCTCCACAAAACAGGACCTATAAAACTAAGCATTAGTCAAATCAGTAGTAGAGACTTAGCACAGATCTCTCTACGTAGTTCTGGGAATCAGTCAGAAATTCATGGAATTTAAGAATTCCTCAGTTTGAGAAGTTTGCTTCTGGAAGCACTTCCTGTCGTGCCCCAGTTGCTCCGGGGCCCAACCTGTGTGGATGTCAAACCTGGCTCCAAGTCTGCTGGTACTTGGCATAGCACACACAAAAACACATCGATGGGCAGCAGTGACAAAATCCAGGCACAGCCTCAACACAGAATACCAGAAGAAGGAGAAAACACCATTTTCCCCATACCCAAGGTAAAGCAGAACTCCAAAACAGGACTCTGAGGGGAAAATGTGGGCGTTACGAGAACTTGGGTGCAGGGCCTTTGGTTGGCGTTTTTCAAAACCTTGCTTAGAGATGTGGCCTATTTATTAGTTGTGAAATACAAACCACGTTATCAACCATCTTAAGGAAATGGATTGATGTTAAGTGATACTTGAGAATCTGCCCCGTAGCAAAGCTCCTGCACCAGCACAGACAGATAAGCAGAAAATCCTTCCTGCAAACACAGCCCTGATACAACATAAACCGGGCAGCAGAGCTTGGAAAGGCACTGACAGGACTTACGGGCCTGGAACACTTTGGTACATGTTGGACTGATGAGAAAAGAACAACTCCTAATTAAGGTAATTATCCCAAATGCTGTTATATAAGCTGCAGCTTGAACTCTTTTTGTTAATAACCCAAATAAATCTCCAGGTCACCTGAGCCAGAGGATAAATAGAATAAAATCCCCTACTTGCAAAATTAGGAATTGGTTTCTTCTGAAAAATGGTATGTGATATAAAAAGTAATTGATGTGTTTGGTGTTTTAGCAATCCTTGCTGCTGTGGGATCACTGAAACGGCACAATGAGAACTGGAATGTGCTGGAGAAACCCCTGGGAATGGTCTGATGGGAGCCAAGGCCGCTCATGGAGCGCGGCTGTGTCCGGACACAGCCCCCCATCACCACCACCCCCACCAGGCACTGCCTGCCATGGAGAGAGCGCCCTTCTCACCCTGCACGAGGAACCTCACAGCTCTGCAGTTGCTCTTTTCCTTCTGGTTTCAGAGCTTTTTGAACCCTGACAATCCTCGGGTCAGACTGCCCCGAGTCCCACCACGCCCCGCTCCTGGTGCCTCCTCAGTTACAGCGGACCTGGGGGTACAGCTCAGGTATTAAATTTTGTTTCTGTCTTGCTTCTCTATTCAAAACAAAACAGTATCCCTCAAATGCCTCAGTTCTCTCAGTGTTACAGCCTTTTTCCCCAAACTGCTGTGATTGCCATTACAGAGCTGACGGAGCCGGCATTCCCCGACAACCATTTTAAGTGCTCGGCACAAGGCCGCGCATTCCAACAGCAACATGGTTTGTCCATTATTATGATTTATTATTTTTTGCATTACAGTGGTACCAAGAGGCCCCCGTCAGGGTTCCTGTGCTGGGCATGTACAGAACACACAACACATTGATCAGAAAAACTTGAATTCAGCCTAAAGGGTCCCAGACCCATCTCTCTGGGTATTGCCCTGCTCACTGCACTCATCATTTTTATCATCCTAATAATAATAATTAGAATTTTTTTCACAGTACTAAAGATTTAGAAGTTTCTCAGCACCTCTACTTCCACTTCCAGACACAACCCTATGATTAACGCAGCAACAGGCTCCAAGATCACCTGTGAAATCTTACAGCCAGGATTCAAAAAGTCCTTTGGGTCCAAGGACATGCAAGGTACTCGTAAGCATCAGGATGATACTAACTGGCCTGCACCAAATAAAATAATCAAGCAAAGATATGATTTGATGTGAGTCTCTCTCCTTTAGCTGAAAAAGAAAGCTCAAAGCAGCTGCTCTAAATGAGAAAAAGTATTCAGAAGCACAGTAAACAAAAAGAGCAATGCGGCTGTGGATGCACAATGTTGCACGGAAACAAAGGAAAGGTGAGGAGATGGCATATATCACACTGGGAAGCAGGACTGGAAAAGCCTCTCCTATCTCTATAAGCAGCTGGGGATGATTCGCAGTAGATTTTTCTGTAATAAAATTCCCTCACGTTTCTTTACTTGGAAAACTCAGTTTATAGGTCAGTTAACAAGTATTAAAACCACAAGAGAACATGAAACGCACCACCTTTTCCTTTTGATCCTTTTCCCTTTTGGATGAAAGTTTTGAAGTTGGGAATATAAAATCCCTGAATTTTTGTTATGTTTTATGCCTCCACGAAGGCATTAAAACACCAGTTTGTGGGCTGAAGAAATATCCCCTAACTCAGGGGGAATTAAAGCAAGCTGTCCTCAGCACAGCCCTGGTCGCCAGGTGTGCTTGCTCCCCAAATGGAACACCTCATTTACAAAACAAATCTGCCTCCAAAATTACCTGCCCCTCTTGATTGCTGCAAATGGTTTTCATCAACCTGCACTGGTCTCTCCAAATTTACAGCATTGGCTACAAGAGTCGTTGTAGGAGGAAGAGGAACAGCAGCAATGTTTAAAAGCCATTAAACAAGCCGAGGGTCCCCACTGAGAGTGGCCGGGCCTTGGGTGTCCCTTCGTTAAGGCCGCGTCCCGCTGGGCACACGACACAACCCACCACCAGCACGGAATTGCCTTGGCTTAAAGGTTTTAAAGGCCCCGTTCTCTTGCAGGATGCTTCGGTTTTGAAATCTATCAAAGGAATCTCAAAACAAATTACATGGTAAATTATTATCTGTGTTCTGGCCTCCTCTCTACACCCCACTGTTCGGCATGAATGGCGATGGGAGAGCCCTTGTGAAAGCCGGCCAGATAAGCAGATTACAGAGTGTCAGGTGCCTCGGGCTACTCGGAATTTCACAGCCAAACTTCCCGGCCGAATCCGTCCATCTCCCGAACGTGGGTCACAGGCTATTTCAATTAATGCACCTCTAATGACCAGTGTTTGTTCCTTAATGGGAAAGGAATAAATACAGAACACACAAAACAGCCACAGAGAGCAGGACGCTCTCCCCTCGCTCTCACCGGCGTCACTGCCTTTGGCTTCTCCAACCAACTCGCAGAGAGGGGAAACGGGCTTGTGAGGAAGAGAGAATTTCTATCAGAAAGAAACCTTTTATGTAGCTTTCCTATCATTACCCACGCCTTTCTGGCAGCTCTCAGTGTCCTCCAGATCCCAGCGCGCTGCCTAACAAGACCTGCTATGAAAACAGAATGCAGAAAACAAATTAGCATTTTGGAAATAAAAAGCCTGGCTTTTAATCCTATTAAGATCATGGCTTTTTTTTTTTTTTTTTAAGTTCTCTGAAAGATATACTGATGTTTCCATTACCATAACTGCTGAAATCAGCATTTCCTTTGAAAGAAGTTGTTAATATTTGGAAATGGTCGGATTTCCGATCCCGGATTCGATTGTTATTCTGTGCTACCCCGCGAGTGCCAAGGTCACGGGGAGATTCACCTGCACACCGAGCGAAATGAATGCGCTCGGCCACAATCCATGTATAATTTAACATTCTCCTCTCCAGTACCACCATGCATTCCGAAAAATATTTTATTACAATAACAAATTGGTTTCAAAATCATGCATTATGTATCCTGAAATTAGGTCTGCCAATGAAACCTGGATATACAAACAGACCAGCAGCCATGCAGGGCAGCACGAACACAGGAATTATGGGTTCCAGAGGGGCTGAAAGGAACAATTAATTCTTCCCCTAACTCTAAAAAGTCCTTTTTTATTACTTTAATCTGCATAGCTAAAAAGAACAAAACAATCAATTGCTGCGAAATGCATTTAGGAATCCAATAGCATGTCTCTTTCTAGATGTCTTTATAGAAAGGAAATGTTTAAGTGCAAAGTGCCCAGTATATCAAAACATCCATTGGGGACTTCAGTTCTCAAGGGCAGGGCTGGGAAAAATAATACAAAGCTCCTCAAATATTTAAAAGAGTGTTAGTTATTTTTCAAAACTTTACCATTATAACATTTTAAATGTGGGGATTTTTTTGCAGATCGAGCTCCTCCAAATATTTCAGATCAATTTATCAAAAAATTCCTGCTAAATTCTTGATAAATAGAGTCCTTTGCCATTTCCTTTTTAGTTAGTTCGAGTTAAAAATTTCATAATACTGCTGAATTTTCAGCAGCAAACACTGTAATGTTAATGCACTTTCATGATAGATGGTTGGTTCTGATTTGCAGGTTTCATTTTAAGTTAAATTTACATTGATAAATCCTCCTTTTACAGCCCAAGTATCCTTTTTTCTCATGCAAAATAAGCATGTTTCTTGGTCAACTGACATTTTGTTCAAATGGACTTGAGGTAGCTATTTATGAATAATTAAGATTAAAATGTTTCTGTGATTCCTTCAATGCCTTTTTATTTTAAAACATTTATATCATGTCAAAATGGACTTATTCTTCCAAAGGTAACTTTCCATTAAAATAATGGAGAAAATGACATTTCTAATTTTGATAATAGCCCTGAGTTCAGAACGAAAGTCAGAGCTTCCTGCTGCAGAGCATGAGGGGGTTTAGGATTGAAACCATGATGGGAATTCTTTGTAATGGTGTTAAAATCCTGGATTTGAACTATCTACAACATGACAAATAAAATCAACTACATTTCTATTTTAAAACAGCAGCCCTGACAAAACCTTTATTTTGGACTGTGTTTCACTCAGTTAAAATGATTTCCTTTTCTGTTCTTTATGGTAAGAGAGTCTGGCAGATATTGCTATTAATTAGAATTGGTTCAATTTTAAACTTTAGGAACTCTTTTCATGAATAGCTTACAAACATCTATTCAACCTGGTTGTTTGCTATTTCATTTTTATTTCAAGAAGCAAAAATGAAAAATACTCTAAAACCAGTGTTTTGCCACAGGAAAGGCAGAAGAGATCGAAGCCTTTACATTTGTAAGATATTTTAATTCAGTAAATATTGCATAAAACAAGAACCTTTACTCTGCCCTGTTTGAATCCAAGTGCAACCGTTGCCCTCAGCCGCTGTTTGTCTGTAATTTCGTTGAGCTGCTCTGATCTGACCAGACACAGCTCGCTCGGGAGCAAAATCAGGAGAAATAATTTAATCTAATCAGGATATCTGAGAATGGGAAACGTTTTCAGCTTAATTTGGGATCTCTTAAAAAGCCTTTTGTAGTGCTATTTACTGACACGCTGAAGCTTTGCTCTTAAAGCAATAATTAACAAATTGTTGACAGAAATTAAATGTCCCTATTTTAAACAATTTCGCTGTTCTTCCCCCTTTCTTTCCCGAGGGTGAGCCTGACGAACAGGGAAACTGAGCCCACCATTAACAGGGGAACGCCACTTTCCGGGGTGGTTTTTGCAGTAAAGAGACGTGATTCATATAAGTAATAAGCAAACCCCACGCTCTGGATTTTTAAACGTCCTGGCTCGTAATCCCGAGGTTAAATGATTAAACCCATCCCTGCCTCTTCGCTCTGGCTGCAGATACGTTCCCCTGAATTTAGCTGAGGGCAATTCGAAGCTGAATGGGAACTGCTCTTTTATTTGTTATTAAAGTCCCTTGCTATCTTTCAGAACTGTTTGTTACACAGATCTGAGCACATCCATGTATTAAGAAAATACACTGAATAAAGACAAGGTTATAAAAACCAGATGAAAATCACTCGCTGTTCATCTTCACGTGGCAATTTGCTTAACGAAAATGATCAACAGCAATACCTTGAATCAGTAAATACCACCATTATCTGTCTTGTACAAATTTAAGTATAAAACAGAACTATTTCCCACACATTGCATGTAATCCTGAGGGAAAAGGATGTGCAGAGGCAGCGACTGGGGGGGCCTGGGCTCTGGCCAGGGACATCACTACTGGGCACTGCTCGCTAGGGAGGGTTTGCTGCTGAATCCATCATGTAGGTTAAAGGCAGCAGCCACTGCAGACCCTCTGCACAGCTCTCACTGGCAACAAACACATCTGGAAGCTAAAATGGAAGCAGGTTTCTCCATATTTTTCCCACTTAGGATGCTGGAACTGGCTGGCGAGCAGCACAACACCGGAGAAACGCAGGCTCCTAACAGGATTAGAGGCAGAGGGAGAAAACCCAGCCCCAAAGCACAGCGGTGTTTGCCAGTGCAGTTGTGTTTTGTTCATGAAATAACCCCGATATGATTTAGTGCTGTGAGCACAAAGAGCTGAGTGCAGCTCGGGGGGCCAGGGCTGCCTGGGAGGGAGCAGCCCCTGCTCTGTGTCCTGGTGTGACACTGCCCGAGGGTCCCCCAAGGATGTGGGCATCAGGCCTTAGTGTGGACATTAGTCCGGGGTTGGATCCATTCCTCAGTTTCCCCTTTAAAATACCTTTCTGTTAAATACAGCTATATTAATTAATGATTCCTTTGGGGTGTTGGAAGTCAACTGATGAATAGTTGTGAATTTAATGGAAAAGTTACAAACCCCAAGAACTTTATTTTACCATGATTATCTACTGGGCAGAGACTCCCAAAGCTGTTTTATTCAACATCTCTGAAGTGTTTCCTTACGAAATCCTAAAATCCATGACCACATTTATCTGCTACATGATGTCACAGGGCAGGGAATGAAACCTGCCCTTCCTGCACGCGGTAACCCAAATCCACTTCCCTGAGGCCAACCCACAGTGACACACCCTCAGAGAAGCTGCTGGATCATGGTTGGGATGACACTGTTCCCAAAACATGGTGTGTCCAAAGGCTCCTCCACACACACACACATACTTCTCCATGAAAACACCCAAATATGACCCAAAGGCAATTCAGATGAAGATCCCCACCAAGGAAGAACACCCAATATATAACCAAATCAAGAATAATTTATGGTTTGGGATTTTAAGAGTAGCAGGAAGGTACAGTCCTATCCACACAGTTCACTACCCCCAGGACGTCACCACAAATGATATTAAGTGGCATTTTCGTAGGCAGAATTCTAAACTAAGCAAATATATTCACTTGATATCCACCTATTTTTTGTAGCAGCATGTCAAAATAAATTAAAAAATATTTAAAGCATGTTCCCAAGAAATAAGACACACTAAGGAACAGTGTGACAATTTGCTGCCCAAAGAAGTTCTGGAAAGACAGTGGGTACAGAAAGGCTTCACCCTATGTTCAAAACAGAGTTTTTAATTTCCTTGAAAGGTAAATCAAATGTTTTCCTTCTTCCTCTCATTCCTGCCCTACCTTTCCCCCTCCTCTACTACTAGAAAACAACCTTTTGTTTGACTTCGCTGTATCAGTCTTCACTTCTTCTATACTTTAATATTTATTCACAGCTTCCATGATTTTTGAAAAAGATTTCCTTCCACAAATGTTGTTCTTCCAGCGAGCAAGACCAGAAAATGAGATTTATTGTTTGTTTATCAACAGTCATGAGCATTCAGGAAGGTTTCTTCCAATACACCACTTTTACACCCAAGTTTACACAATGACACTTAGGCAAAACTAACCCTGGAAGCAGCAGGAATTTTCTGTGGTTTGCTGTGGTTTTTATCTCCAGATCATCTCTGGAAACTTCTTTCTCAGGATAACAGTTGAGGAAAGTTTGCTCCCTCTCTTCACTTCTGAATCACCAGCTCATGTGTGATGAGTTTTGGGTGAAAAGTCAGGCAAGGACGGTGATGGACTCACCTTTATCTTACCCCTCTCTTCCCTTGGAGGCTTTAACCTCCCTTGTCCCTCTGTCCCCAGAGGTGCTGTGTGGGCACAGCCCCATTGCCCTCTGCTCCCACAGACATTCCCTGGCTGCAGCAAATCCAAAGAGAGGGATTAAGGAAATGATCACCCTCACTTTAAGCAGCAGTTCTGAGTGTCCTGCCACATCCCCCAGCAGGGCCCAGGCCAAATGACTTTCATTTTCCTGGTTCTGTGTTTATTGGGGTTGATCAGCCACAGAGTCCACAGGAACGAGCCATTTTTCAGCATAACTGGTTTACAGTAAAACGAGATTATAGCTTTCTAAATCCCTCAGATAAACCCCCATACATCCCATATGTGCAAAGGGGACACTGCCTATAGCGTCCTTTAAGGAATAGCTACTCTGCATCTCCCCCTTCTCTAACAGTTAAAGGGCTTTTTGCCATCAAACTATTGGCATGTGATTGTCACTCCCTCTCCCTTTATCCTCCTCAGTGCATTTATTGAGTCCCCTGAGGTCCCTTCCCCTCCTATAAAGGAAGGCCTAAGAGACTGGGGAGATGTTCCTGCTATTGTCCAGGAGAATCCAGAGGCCAGCAGCAGATGCTCCTGCAAGTTGTGTGATCTGGGTCCCCTCCAAGCCTGGCACCCAGACACCCCTTTCCTAGGAGCAGGGAGCAGGACAGCAGAGCTGGAGGAGAAGGGAAGCACAGGTCTAGTCTGAAAAGATTATTTTTAGATTGAATGAAATACACCGCCCACAAAGACAGGGAGAGCAAGACCTTGGGAAACCATGGGACTGCTTTCTTTCTCTGATTTAAAGGAAAACACTGTTTCCTCCTGGCGTTGTTAAAAAACAATTCCCATTTAAGCAGTGACAGGCAGGACTCTGTAATCTGTACATACAATTTAATCCTTTCAAGAATCAGCAGAACCCACATCAATCAAGCCTTCATCAACTTGTAAAAACAATATTTTGATTCAATCAGATTCAAAGCCCCGAAATTCCCAACTAATTAATGCAGGGTCACTCGGAGGCGGTGAGGCAATGGCGAGCAGAGTGGTCAAATATTTACCCCTCACCACAGTAGACATTAGGACAACCAAAGGACCTGGAGAGTGGGCAGGAATAGATAATGTGACTCTAGCTGCAGCAGGTTTCATTCACTGAGAGTATTTGGATAAAGAATTATTACAAAGGAGAGGAAAAAAGCAACTGAAGCCTCTGCCGTGAGCAGCGTTCTCACATCCTGCTCAGGGGCTGTGAAATGGGCAGTGACCCAGGCAACATCCTTCCCATTTTCGGATTTTTAACATGCATGTCTCCAGACAGTTGAGCTGCTTTGGTTCTAGTCCTGCCTTATAACATTCACAATAAATTATATTGTAAGAACGTAGGAAGCAAAAAATCACAGAAGAGTGCAAAGCACTGAGACCTTCTGCCCTGCCTGCATTCCTAGAAATTATACTGGACTTCAGCTTTTTCCTTTAAATATCTTTAAAATTTGTGCCCAGCATGCAGGATATTCTCTGCACAGTGTGTTTTCCCAGTGTGGAGGTGCCTGTGTGTGCTGCTGACACGGCTGCCGAGCCTCCTGTCTCCATGTGATTCTGGGCAGTTCATTTAGGCAGCTTTAAACTTTGCCTTGGGAGGACATATCTTGTGTATGTTCCCTTCCAAAGCTAAAATCTTTTCAAATGCAGTCAGTAAAGGGTCAGAGCTGGTTACTGCAGAACATGGAATCCTATACACATGTCCATGTGTGCAGCTGAGAGTGTTCTTTGACCTCACATGTATGGAACAGGCTGCCCAGAGAAGCTGTGGCTGCCCCATCCCTGAAGTGTCCAAGGCCAGGTTGGATGGGGCTTGGAGCAACCTGGTCTAGTGGAAGGTGTCCCTGCCCAGGTTGAAAAAGATCCTTCCAACCCAAATCATTCTGTGATTCCACGATGCTCCAGGTGAAGAGACTTTAGATTAATGATGATGCATTTAATACGTGCTCTTCCTCGCACAACAAAGTTTTCAAAAAGTTTAAGAGCGACCATTTAATAATTCCCAATTTTTACACTGCCTGTATTCTGAGACAGCTTGGGAAGGAATTATATGCCCAGAGGAATTTTTAAAAAGCCATTTTGCAGAACCTGTGCTGATGGTATTTCACTGCAACAACAGTCAGTGCCTGGTTACACCAAATGAGTTTCAGAAGGATGCCCTGATCACACACCTATGAAAATGGTAAAAATCTGGATGAAAGCATCTCCTCTTTAACTTACATTACTGCCACTACTCAGCATCACAATCCCAGACTCCTGGGATTTCCCTGTGTTTGCACTTCACAACCGCCCATCAAAGAAGCTGCCTTGGTAGATTTTGGGACAGTTTCCCATTCTTACTCCAAGTGCTGGTACAGTCCTGAAGTGTGGGGGATCCTAAAATTATTCCAGCCTTAAAAATCACAATCACAGATGTCATTTTGCCCTGGGTTGACCTTTCCAGCAGATTCTGACACATAAAGGGAAAAGCAGCAGAGGCACCTGCTCCAGCTGAGGCACCGGGGCCCTGTGAGGGCTGCTGAAGTTGCTGAAATGACGTGTAAATGAACTCACTGGTACAAAACCACGCCCTTTCCAGCCTCCTCTACACTCCAGCTATAGACAGAAAAGCTCTGGCATGGAAGTGCTATCCCTTCCATTTTTTAAGAAAGATAAGTCCCCTCTGGAATGCTTCCTGGTCCCAGTGGTGGCACCAACAGCTGCTCCCAGGCTGGGGGCCCTCGGCAGCCCCCAAACAGGGCACAGCTTTTACTCCTGTCCCTGACTGACAGGAATTTTCAGAGGAGATGCCAGTGGTTAATAGGCAAGGATGGGATGAACATTCTTTCCATATATGCATCTTTCCAAATTACATCCTCCAGGTTTCCATTCAGCCAGGCAATCGACACTCATAGTAGCAAATTTTCATGTTGAAATTACAGCTCTTTTTGAAAGTGTCAGTGTTTCAGTTTCACCTTAGACATTAATCCAGCATCTAATCCCTAATTGTTTGTAAATATGCACATCTGGGGAGTTATTCTAGCTCTGACCCAAAGATCTTCCCCTTGGTAGCATTCCTTCCGTGACTCTGCAAACCAGCCTGAACTGCTCCCTGAAGCAGCGCAATGGGATGAGGTTGTTTTTAAGTTCTAAAATATAACAGAAAAATTTTAACAATAAATCATGAATCAATGTACTAAGTGCCCTGGATATTAACAGAAATGTACCTCACACACAGGAGTTCTAACACTTTTGCCACTGATATTCCAACATGGTAAGGAACAGAAACTAAGGAAGTCTGGAACTTCAACTGGCAATGGATATTCCCAGGAGGAAATGCTTTTTACATCATACTTCAATGCAAAGTGTGCTCCTAATATCAAACCCTTCCCATTTTTTTCCCCCAGAACTTCTCACAAAGAACAGGATGATTGATACAGCACCAGAACAATCTCTCATCATGATGCCTCTGAACCATTTTGGTTCCTGATCCTTCTGTGCCTGTGTCCCTCCTCAGCCACCAGAACTGTCCCCTGGCCTTGGGGCTCTCCAGTTACTCCATTTTCTCCCCCTGGATCCTGTAGGCCATCAAATCCATCCTCCCCTTTGCATTTGGACATGAAGGCGTTACCGTGGCACGCTGCCCTGCTTCCCCGAGTCAGGAGATGTGTCACCTGGCACTGTCACCTTCTGTCACCCCATCCCACTGCTAGGACAGGTGTCACCTTGCCCTCCAAGCCCTCCACACAGTGCCTCTCACTTCACCCAGCCTCTGCAACCAGCATTTCCCTTCATCTTTACTCCACTGACATCCACCATGGCGTTA